GCTCACCGGAAGCACTTTTTCATCAAAACAAGATGGCGGCGCCCAGCTGATGTCGGTACCGGGCCGCGGCATAAAAAAGGTTGGGGATACCGGGCCGCGGCATAAAAAAGGTTGGGGATCACTGATGTATCTGATATTAACACAGTTGAGAAAGTCCAGAAATATTTCACAAGAAGAGTTCTCCACTCCTCTACTCATTGCAGAATACCTTATGCCACCAGACTTGAAATTCTAGACCTAGAAAACCTAGAACTACGCCGCCTTCGGTCTGATCAAAGCATAGTATATAAAATCATATATTGCAATGTCCTACCTGTCAATGAATACTTCAGCTTCAACCATAACAATACAAGATCAAACAATAGATACAAACTCAAGGTTAACTGCACCAAATTTGACTGCAGGAAATATGACTTCAGCAACAGAGTGGTCAATATTTATTTATTTATTTTGCCACCTGACTCTGTGGTTTCTTCCCCAAACCCCAAAAACTTTAACCTTAGACTGTCTACTATTGACCTCACCCCTTTCCTAAAAGGTCTGGTGCATAAGCGCACCAACGGGCCTACCGTCCCCCTCCTATTGTTTCTTTTTTATTTTTCTTATATGTATCCATTTCATGTATCCATAGCTATGTTTATACTTATACCTGTTATCTTATAATTGCTTGGCTAAATAAATAAATAAATAAATAAATAAATAATTTTTCAGATTGTTTCACTAAATATTATAAATGCAGTTAATTTAAGTTAGAATCAAATTTAATGATTTCAAAAGTTTACTAAGTAAACTTTTCTGGATTTGCACCCCCCACCCCCAAACTGCACTCAATTTCGCGACTTGAAATTCCATGTCAAGAGGTTGCTTCCAAATTTTATAAACGATTTAGCATTGAGTTCCTTTTCAAGGATGAACTGTCAGGAGGAGGTCTTGCTATATATCCCTGAAATTCTTCTACTTATTCCAATTCATTGGAATTATAACCTCAAAAATATGAAGAATGTTTTGAGAGGTCTTTGAATTTTTATTATAACCACTCAGAGGTCCTAGATGGTCAAGAAATCAAGAGAACAGTTCATAGAAAAGCTCTCCAAACATGAAGGATGGCATTTCTTATTCTTAATTTCAGTTTGGGTGATTTATTTTTTTTGTTCATGTAACTCTTGTTAATAGCAATATGATCTTTTATACATTGATTATGTGAACGCATTCTTAGGGAAATGGTGTTCTATTTTAACAATGTACGTGCTACATTATTCTTTACCAACAAGCTGCATATATTGTATTAAATAATGACTTGAACCAAGCCACTATGGTTTATTCAACAAAGCTTACTTGAACCAGTCAAGACTTAATGAAAATTAATGACTGCCTTCTGATAGATAGATAGATAGATAGATAGATAGATAGATAGATAGATAGATAACGCTATATAAGAATAAAGGAACAAAATTTCTCATGATCATCTCAAATTTGGAGATAATTAAAGGCAGAAATAAATTCTCTCACGGGTACATTTCCTTAAAAGGAGGAAATCAGTTTATATGTCACTTCTCTCTGTACATGACTCTGGTTGGCTAATTACAATTAAAAGAAGGTAAGAACATAGTAACAACCCAATAATAGCATATACTGCCTGTAACAGATTGTTTGTTTATTTATTTTATTTTATTTATTTGTCAAAGGATTATAAGATAACAGGTCTAAGTATAAACATAGTTATGAATACATGAAATGGGTACATATAAGAAAAATAAAACGAAACAATAGGACAGGGACGGTAGGCACGTTGGTGTGCTTATGTACGCCCCCTATAAGTGGTGAGGGAATCTCTGTGAGTTACTTATATTTCCCCCAAATCTCCCCCAGCATCCTGGGACCCCACAGCATAAGAAAAAAGTAGTACCTATGAATAGATAGGTACCAATCTATAAAATTTCTATGGCTTGGCACCAAGATTCCTAGAGCATTGCCTTCTCAGAAACTAAGAATTTGCACTTTTGTCTTTCTTTGAAACATCATTTTTCTTGAGATCTCTTATGATCCCAACTTTACCTGGATTTAAAAACATAATTAAAACCTAGCTTTTCCAGCAGATCTTGATGATAGGTACAGTATGTTATGAAGTGTTACTCATAGAAGGTTGACATCATGGAATGTTGACATCATCAGCCATGGAAAAAAGTGCATTTCCAATGTCCCTCCGAGATGGCAAGATTTAAAGGAAAGGACCAGGAGAGCAACCATGCTATCTGACCTGGAAGGATGGCCAGATACCCTGTGTGGTGGTGTTCTCCGTGAGAAGACTGTACATAATGAGTTTCATCATGACTCCCTATATCTGAGGAGTTGGGATATAGGATGAAATTTGTCACCTATTACATGTGTATGTTTCTGTGTGTCTGATAGAGAATGAAAATGGTATTAACACCGTATGACAATAAGATAAACCTAAATAGGAATGTAAAAAATGTTCTTATCCTGATTCAGATCTTTTGATGCATTGGAATATCAACTGAACTAATCGGCAGTTTTTTACTGTTTTAGACTGGAGGCATACAGAAAGCCCCTAACTTACTTTCTTCAACAACAAGAGTTCTTCAGCATCCTACCTAGATATCTGCAATATTCATCTCAGTGATAGACAGCATGTAGCTAACCTTGGTTGATTTCGGAATCTAAGTAAGGTTAGCTGTGATTAGAATTTGTTTGGGGAAATCATATAGAAATTCTAATGTTTTACGGTAGACGGGGGAAATAAAACAAAAACCCAACAGCATTCATTACACTCTAAGGCAGGGGTCTCAAACACAATTTACCTGGGGGCCGCTGGAGGCAGAGTCTGGGTGAGGCTGAGCCACATAATATTGTACTTTATATTTATATTATACACTAATATTATACTTTCATATCACGGTGGGGGCCACAGGATATCGTCCTGTGGGCCGCAATTGGCCCGCGAGCCGCGAGAATGAGACCTCTGCTCTAAGGCAATGACAATCCTTTTGCTGTAACATTGCCAAAAAATCTGCTTATAGAAGCCAAAAGTCAAGCATGACTTAAGGGTGCATTTATTTTTCTTTACTATTTATCTACTTTCAAGTAAATAAAGCTATATCTGTCATTTAATATCATTATACAGAATAACAGTCAAACAGATACTTCTGTCACACGCAAAGGGCAGAACATGCTTAGGGCAATTTTAATTCCTTTAGTCTCCTACTTTCAAAAGTATCATGAAAAGACTATTATTTAAAAAAATAAAACCATAAATCCCTTTGATAGGTGAACAACTCCCCATTGAGAACCAGCATGATGTAATGACCAAGGAATCAGGCTACAAACTGGGGAACTGGAAGTTCTAGTCCTGCTTCAGGCAAAAAAAATCAGCTAGGTGACCTTGGGCCAGTCACTTTCTTTCAGTCCTAGAAAGGAAGCAATGGCAAATAATCTCTGAAAAACGCTTCCAAGAAAACTGCGGAGACTTGCCAAGCAGTCTTTGAGAATCGGATACGAGGGAACAGGAGGAGAAAAAGGGCCCAAATCTGGATTTTAGTGTCATTTAGCAATCACTTAGATTCCTTCTAAAATTAGTTTGTGGAAATTTACATAGGTCCTTGCTGAGCAATTTAATAACCAATCAGATTGATTGGAACCGAGCTTCTTCTAAAGCTAAAGGGAATGAGGTGAGCAGTACAGGGAGTGACCCGCTAAAATAGGTTTCAGTGAGCAAAATAGATTCTGAGTTTTAGAATGATTTTTCCCCCCCAATATTTGTTCAGATTTTATTTCAAGTGGCAAATCTGCATAAAACAAAAATGGCATCCGCATGAGGGAGTTCAGGATGTAACAAATATCCTTTCTCCAATGACAATGCAGGTATGTCCCAAAGGGGTACACACCGAAGAAATGAAGCAATATTAAATTTAAGAAAGCATTCACACACCAGTGCATACCAGTTTATGTGTGTGTTTGTGCATTATCTTGAGGAAGTTTCTTAGTTTTTATGCATGACTTTCCTCAGAAGTGATAACAATTTCCTGTCAGGTTTTTAACTACAGATAGCATGGCATATTTTTCCCCCCACGATTTTGTTCCATCCTTTGAAAAAGAATCCATTTATCTGATTCTGTCCTTTACTTCATTATATATAATGGGAAGTTACATATGATTTTATTCCCTCTAACATTCCAAGCTCAAATTCTGCACTAATCCTCTATTATTGCCTTGGACATAGTACTTTTAGTGATAACATAGGAGCTCCTTCAATACCTCAGGGAAAAACTCATCCTTCTGTATCTACATTCTCTGCATATCCTGCATTGAGAAATATTTAGCAATGTGAAAAGTTACAATCAGTGCCTCTTCTTATTAATTAATCTTTACTTCATATGTTATTCAGTGAAATTGATATTGCAAGTCTAGATTTTCTTGACATAGCTTAGGACATACAAAGCACTTATTTTAAAATAGTGATCACATATCATGAAAAAAAAATCATTAAGTCAAAACAATGGAGCACTCTTAACAAACATGCAGATATTTCTTGGCCAAGATATTTTTTCTAAGATAGTATGAGATATTTTATATAGATGGAAGTACTGCTCATCAGTATCACTTTGCTTAATTATAAAAATGGGCCGATGAGTGATATTAGATTTGCAAAATAAAAAGTGACTTGCATCAGTTTTTGGGCTCTAAAATATTAATGTCGAAATAAGAACTTACAGTCTTGTTTATATTAGAAGCAAAATAAGAGAAAAGATTATTTCATTATATAAGTAAAAATGCCCAAAATAACCATGTTTAAAGCCACAGATAAAATGTGTTTTATTAACATCTAATTATATTTTTGCTGTTTCTCTTTAGAAAGATTTAGTTTGCTGCTTTCTAAGGGAAAGTAAAATTTCTTTTAATTCAAAAATAATCAATGTGGTCCTTTTCAAGTAGGAAATAAACAAAACAGATAGGACAATCCTAAATATATTGATCTAAAATTATTTAAATGTGAATTACTTTCAGACAAGGATATTTGCTATTTCAGTCAGCATTAGAGGAAATTCAATTTCTCAAGCATAGTATCTTTAATCCACAACCTTAGCAATAAGAATTTACCGACTAGACGTCTAAAACATTTATTGAAAAAGTTAATCACATCGAATTTTGGTAGGGAAGGGTACTGCCTAATACTATAAAGTGATTGTACTATGAATTTAGATTATTAATATTTAAAATCCATGCTTGTGCAGTTGATTAGCCTTTTAATCCTGTACACTTTAAAAGCCTAATACCAGTCAGTTACTTTGAAAGAAACTATATTGATTTCAATAGATCTTAATTCTAAGTTCATGCATTTAGGTTTACTGTCTTATTTTAGACTGCTATGACATTTATCGAAAATCCTTATAAACACAGCTATCCGATGTAGATCCTGTCAGATTATAATACTTAACTACTTTAGTACGTTCAAAATATCAAGTATATTTAAAGCATCTCACTTGCAGCAATTATGCAATAACAATATACATATATATACTGTATATATAGCAGTATATTTCCTCTCTAGCAGATAAAGGAACTGAGGCTAATGCAATACTATTTTTTTCCCAGAACACCAAGTTAGTTAATGGCTACAATCAATTTTGAATCGGGAAAATACTCTTACAGTATAGTGGAGGGATAGAAAACAACTGAAGATAGTTAATTTTCCTTATGTTCCAACCCCATTTACCTGAAGCACAGAGATAAAACCGATCTTGGCCTGAACACTCAATTTCGATGAACCCATATAAGTTTTGTCCTAGAGTTCTGAACAGCTTCTTGTTGAGATCCTCCTTCAACAGTGATGACATTGCCTTGGTTTGTGTCACACTTCGGGATGTTCTTATTCCACTCCTTTTGCTTCTTCTCCGATGTGGATTGCTCCCAGAGATTAGAAAGTTAATTCTGCAACCAAACCATCAAGCGACCAGGTATCCAGTTGTCCAGCTTGATGGCTAGAGAATCAGCAGTAGCAGTCGCTCCATTCAGCGTCCGGTACCTCCAAAGTTCCTCTGCTCTGGCATAGTTTGTTGATGACCATAAATATCCGCTCCTGTGGGACTTAGCAGCCCCCTGGCTATCATGGGGCAAGAGCATTGTTAACCAAAGCAACACAAAAGCCCCATTCGCACCAACAACATTTTGCTTCCCTAGCTGCCTGGAGGTATTGATTGAGAGGATTTTCCATTTCAAGACTATTGGCGGGAGACAGGAGGAGAAGTTACATCCACTCACACACTCTGCAGAACTGCCGCTTTTCTTGAACACTTAACTTTTCCCACAAGTGTACGTGCATCACTTCAGAGGAAAAGGGAAACCAGCCAATTCTGGCTCCAAAGCTTCCAATCGGTTCAAGAAAAAAAAAAAGCTTTGATATTATATCTAGGTCTCCGCTTTTAGGCATCCAGGAAGAAAAAATCTCTATCATCCAGGTTAAAAGTACTGTGGAAAGTAACCCTTTCCTGACTAGTACTTTATCACAGTAATGTCAGTGTTATTAATACTTCCCAATTCTGATAATTCATCTCCTTCAACGCTATCTAGAATACAGTGCTCATCCCTCTGCAAAGACTTAATGATGTCTTTATTTATTCTATGCAGCCCTCGTTACTTTTCTATTTTATTTATTTACTAGCTCTGTACCCGTGCTTCGCTATGAAACTATGTGACCGGGCTTAGTTTTTGGGGAGGAAAATAAGGGGGGAAAATTGTGCCTCTGCCTACCAGCATCTATTGGTATTCATCTGGCTAGCATCCTGTCAGTGTGTGAGAGTTGAGGCTGTTTGGAAACTGAAACATGGAAACTGAAACAGTATTTGCTGTGTGAGCAAGAAGGAGACAGCAAGGAGCCTGGGCGTGGTTTAGCTCAACCGTTCTGTACTAAAGCTGGTTGCTGCTGTGAAACTAAAACTGAAACTCCTCTCCTCTGCTTGCATTTTGCATTTGGAAGAGATTTCTTTTCAGGTGGGGAGGGGGAGTAGAACTCCTTAGCATCAGAGCGTGTTAATAATAATATAGGAAATAGTAATACTCTGATGGTCATTTCGAAAAATCCTTTCTTAGTGAGCACCTAGAAGCCAAGAGGAACATACATGCCAAATTTGAAGTTTGTAGGCTTTACGGTTCTGGAGATTTTGTGATGATGCGTGAGAGGTATTTCGCTTTTATAGAGAGAGATAAACTATTCTTATATAAAACAATTCATCCCCTTGTTTAGGAGGGTGAAAAGGAAAAAAGGATCAGAAAGTATTAAGACTAGCAAACTACTCAGCTACCCAATGTTTCGGGGTTGGGGGGGGGGGAAAGAACTGGAAAAAGAATCCCCATACCTTGTTGATATTTAATAAATCATTCAATATCCATTATCAATATAATTAATTCATTTTGGTGCTCGTTAACTGATTTTTTTTTCTTATATTCACCTCACCTTTCAAACGCAATTAGTAGCATAATGCCATTAAAGCCTCTTTTTACAACTGATATTTAAATAAACTTTGTATTTTTTGTACCATATGAAATGTAAGTCAGCTAAAATACGTAGCTCTGTTTAAGTAGGTCTGTTTACATTTTCCATTCAGTGTACAAGAAACCACAGAGTCTTATCCATGTCTGTATGGGAATAATTCTCAATCAGTTCAGTAGATACTATTCCTTTATAAGAATATACAGGTTTACAGCCAAGCTTGGAATTCCAAATAATTATTACAGAATAAGCATGCCATAGTCAGCGTCCTGTCAGTGTGTGAGGGTTGCAGTTTAGTTAGCTTATTAAAATATTGTTACAGGAGATGATTGACACTTTAAAAAAACCCTCTGAATTAAAAACAAGATTCTCTGGCTATCTTTGAATTCATAATCCCAAATTCACACATACATGTACAATCTAAAACTGATCAACCACGATTTCGTTGTGAGAACTGTGCATAGGCTGTATAGTTAAGTTTTGAATTCAGCTTGTTATGTGAACCCAGATAACAGGATTACAGGTAGTCCTCAATTTGCAACAGTTCATTTAGTGGCCGTTCAAAGTTCCACGGCTCTGAAAAGTGACTGATAACTGTTTTTCACACTTAAAACCGTTGCAACATCCCCATGGACACGTGATCAAAATTCAGATGCTTGACAAGAGACTCATATTTATGATAGTTGCAGTGTCCTGAGGTCATGTGATTCCCTTTTGCAATAAGGAGGAAAGTAGATTCCCTGAACAACTTAACAGCTGCGGTGATTCACTTAACAATGGTGGCAAGGAAAGTCATAAAGGGGCAAAGTTCATTTAACAACTGTCTCGATCAGCAACTGAAATTTTGGGCTCAATTGTGGTCATAAGTCAAGGACAACCTATAATTGGCATCTCTATGAAGTATGGGTAGATCTGTTATGTGATTGTCAACCCTCAACTATTAGGCAAAGTAGAAAAAAGAGAAACTAAGATTCTTCTTAGCACTGGAAATTCACACCCAGGAACAATATTAAAAAAAAGAAAATCTGAATGTCCTTTTTTTGTTTTTGTCTCATCTCTGCATGCTTATTTTATCACTTCCTCAACAAAGGGGCGTACCTAAACCAATTAAACATCAAGGTTCAAAGGAGCGTTGCAAATTATGCGTAATGTTCCACTAAAAGAAGGAATGCCAATTAATTTTATTAAAATGAATACTGTGGGGAAAATAACTTTGTTCAGGGAGAGGAGGACCACGAAAACAGCACGGTCCATATCATGCATGTAGACAGGGATGGGTTTTTGTGAGAGTTTAAACTTATGTTCTTTAACTCTGACATGTCTCTTTGAGGTTTTAACTATAGCGTTCCCGCAAAATGGCAGAAATCTGCATTCAGTTTTCAGGGATTTCCCCCAAAATAAGATTCATGGAATGAAAGAGTTCAAGGGACCACCATGAACACATAATGATCACATAATCTAACCCACTGCAAAGGGCAGGAAAACTAATATAGTATAACCACGGGCCCAACTAACCATCCCGAGTTACTTATATTCAAATAATTTCACAACATACACACACACGTTTTCTAAGTTTTCACGGGTATCTATATGTATGGTATTCAGCTTTGTTCGGATATTTTCCCATATCATTATAGTTGTGCTTTTAAAGTTATCGCGACGTTTCGGCAGAATCTCATCTGCCATCATCAGGCTTCTGCATTGTGTTCATCTGTGAGTCAGACTTTCACAGCCGTTTGTGTTTTAAATGTATATATATATTGTGTATGTATGTATGTATGTATGTATGTATGTATATATACACACACACACACACACACACACACACACACACACACACACACACACACACACATGGTATCTAGGTTTCTTCAGGTATTTTCCCACGTCTTAATATTTGTGCTTTTATTATAGCGACGTTTTGGCAGAATCTCATCTGCCATCCTCAGGCTTCTGTATTGTGTTCGTCTGTGAGTCAGGCTTTCACAGCCGTTTGTGTTTTATATATACATATACATATACATATATATATGTATGTATATACCGTATATACTGTATATACTGTATATGTATGTATGTATGTATGTATGTACGTACACACACACACACGGTATTTAGGTTTCTTCGGGTATTTTCCCACGTCTTAATATTTGTGCTTTTATTATAGCGACGTTTTGGCAGAATCTCATCTGCCATCCTCAGGCTTATGTATTGGGTTCTTTTTAATCTCGTGTATCAGGCTTGGCGGCCGTTTTTTGTTTGAATTTGGGGCTGGCTTTCTGCTTTATTTGAATGGTTTTTTCCACATCCTGATTGGCTGGGAGTCTAGGTCTGTTTTTATTGGTCTTTGAGTTACTGTGTTCTTGATTGGTTGGCAACATTGTGTTTTGTGCATTGGTTTTTTTTTTTAGTGCAGCTTGGTTTCTTGTGAATGGCCGATAATTATTTATTAGGAAGCTAGGTTTTATTTGGGTAGATGGCTGGGGCATGTTTGGGCTGGAGGTAGTGGGGGGGGGTCTGTTTGTAAGCCTCCAATGATGGATCACCCACAACCTCCAAAGGCAAACTGTTCCATTGGTCGATTGCTCTCACCATTAGGAAATTTCTCCTTAGCTCCAAGTTGCTTCTCTTCTTATTTTCCATCCAATGTCCTACATATTATGAACACACAGTTTCTTTTTTATTTTTCTTATATGTACTCATTTCATGTATTCATAACTATGTTTATTCTTATACCTATTATCTTGTAAGCTACTGACAAATCAAATAAATAAATAAATAAAAATAAAAATACATTTGTATATTAAACAGTCCCATTCCAGTCAAAAATTGATTTCCCCCACAACTGAAAAACCAGTAGGCCAGGGATGGGGAAACTTTTATGGCTCACTCAGGAATTCTGGGAGTTGAAGTCCATAAGTGATAAAAGAGCCAAGTTTCCCTACCGTTTCCCTACCTCTGATCTAGGTCAATAATCTCTCTATTAATAAGGGGTCCTTGGTGCTCTCCCGAGTTTGGTTGTTGTCTTGCAGACGTTTCATTACCCAACTAGGTAACATCA